TACCAGGACACGATCGAGTACGAGCCGGACGAGGAGGACACTGGAATGGATCTGGAGCCAGCGGTCAACTTGGACCGCCGCCGCATCCGGCAGAAAACCAGCCTGGATGCTCTACGAGCACGGGAGACTGCGGAACCAGAACTACGACCCGAGCCAGCAGCCAACGCACGGCCCGAAGGAGCCATCCAGACCGACACGACCATGGGAATCTGGGAACGTCTACCTGGACCTGCTCTACCGGATGAGGACGGCGAACCTCCAGCTGAACCAGAAGTTCTTGACGACGAAGACCCGACCGAACCGCCAACCAAGAGGTCACGGACGCATCTCCTCGAGATCTACTACGCCAAACTTGAGACGCTGTTCAAAACACGGCAGCGGAAGGAGATCCGGCTAAAGGACCTGAATCAACAGGATTTGGACTGCTTCCTCAAAGCCACTGAGAAGGAGATCAACAATAACCTCGAGACCAAGGCCTACGAGAAGCTGGATGTGGAGACCAGCGAGCGAATCCGACGGGAAAAGCCCGACCGGATCATGGAGTCCAGATATGTTCGTACGGCAAAGCCGCTCGAACATGATGATGTCGATAAGGCCCAGTGTGAGGGAACTCTTTTGCACGGCGAGCACGGCGGTCCATGCAAGGCAAAGGTTCGACATGTCATGAAGGGGTGCTCGGAAGAAGGGGCTGAAGACTTAGAGTCGGCGACTCCTCAAGTGACCAGGGAAGGGGTGATGTTCACGGCCCAGGTCATTGCTAGCAAGCGTTGGAAATTGGGTTTTTGGACTTCACTCAGGCCTTTCATTCGGGGGACCCGATTCGTAGAGAACTTTATGCGGAGCAACCCCCGGAAGGTGTTCCAGGAATGAAGAAAGGAGAACTCCTTCGCCTTTTAAAGACTTGCTACGGTTTGTTGGATGGTCCGATGGCTTGGTTCAGACATTTGAAGAGAGTGCTTCTTGAGGAACTTGGCTATGTCCAAAGCCTTGCGGACCCTTGCGTCTATTTTCTTCATGATGACAACAAGACCGGCTGGGATAAGCTAGTCGGCATTGTGTCAGTTGCTACCGATGACATGCTTCATGGTGGCGATGAGACTCATCAGGCCAAGATGCAGCTGTTGAACCAGAAGTACAAACTCGGCAAATTCCAGTATGGTAGTGGCAGGTTCACGGGAAAACAGTTTACCCTCCAGGGAGATGGTAGCATCGTTGTGGATCAGTTTCACTATGTGTCTGAGAAGGTTCACAAGATCCCCCTTAGCAGGACCCGTAAAGGCCAAAGATACTCCTACTGTAATGAACAAGAAATTGGTCTGCTACGATCACTTGTTGGTGCATTAGCATGGCTTGCCAAGGAGACAAGACCGGATCTGTGTGGCCGGGTGTCACTGTTACAACAGCAGTTTCCTAAGCCTAGGATTCGTGACATTATCAGCGCCAACCAACTGGCCTCGGAAGCCGAGAAGTTTCAAGTTGGTATCCGTATCTCCCCGATACCGATCACCAGGCTTCGGGTTAGCGCTGTTACGGATGCGTCCTGGGGCAATGCCGAGGGTGCTGGATCAACCGAAGACTCGGGACGGGATTTCTGGATTGAGACTCAAGACCATTGGATTAGGAAACATGTTCAACCCCGACGGACCTTGTTTCATCCCGGGATGGTTGATAATGGCCCCGACTTGCATACGATCGAGGCGTCCCGAACTACGTACTTCAACCAGGACAATCAAGAAAGCAAGCAAGAGGTCACCTGGAACGGAAATCAAGTCAGTTTGGTGGCTGGTTCGGCCTGGACCGGTCAGACTGTGTTTGTCAAAAGTAACAAGGGTCTTGATCATACTGAGATTTCGGAGAAGTTTCTTCAGAATCGGCGTACCAGTAGCCAGGGAGGACACTTGTTGATTTTTCATGATCAGGATTTGCAGTGTGAGCCGTCAGCTGCTGTGACCATTTCCAGCTGGAAAAGCTACAAGCTTAAACGGAAGGTGGTGAATACCTTGTCGGCCGAGTGTCAGGCCCTCGCCAGCGGCATCGGAAATGTTCATTGGCACAGGTTCTTGCTTCTTGAAGCTCAAGGAGGCGAGTTCACCGATCAGGACTGGGAAAGGTCATTGGCTCGGATTCCTTATTTAGCGGTTACTGATTCAAAGTCTTTGTACGACTCCCTGTCCAAGCAAACCTGTCCTTACAGTCAGATCGATGACAAAAGAACGGCCATAGACATTTCGATCATCAAGAACGA